TATGGCCGATGGATGAAACGCCATGTAATGTGAAAGAGGGTGTTCATAATGACAGAATTATCACCTGACTCTGCTGTTCTAGCATCTTTTAGCTCACTGTTTAGCAGACGTGGAAAGTAACAACTTACAATTACTCACAATACTGAAATTGAGTAGTTTTTATAATCTGTAATTTTACTTTTATTTAAGCATGTTTTGTTTGAGGTATTGTACTTTCCTTTATTTTAAATCACAGCGGGAAGGACTGACTGTGACTGTTGCTGCGGAGAGGCAGCAGCAGCAGCACATGGATCATGCGTAAAATCAGGAGCGTTGGACTTAAGCAAGCCACAATTGGTGATCGTTCCCTCTGGCTGGATGAAGCCCAATGCTCCTCATTTTAAGCATGATCCATGATGATCCAGAAGACTTTGAAACGAATGGCAAAAATAGCATGTCATGGGTTACTTGGAGGAGCCACGCTCCCCCTGGCTCCCCAGGTATTGGGTTAAAGAAGTTTTCAGTTTGATAAGAGGCTTTGCTCAAACTAGCCAAAAAGACATCAGTGTATTGACATAGCTAATGTTGGTTGGCACTAGCAACCTGCTGGTAACTAGTTAATTATGCTTAGGCCTATGTTAATAAAAAAATTTATTATGCTAACCCATTAAAATTACCACCTGTTTGAATGTAGCCTAAATAGTGATATGATTCATATACAGTCCAGTGTGGCTCGCGACAGTCTAATCTGTTCCGCCAGTTTCATAATGAAGCGTAAACATTCTCAAAACCTCTCATAAACAACATAAAAAGGTCTCTAACATTGTTTTGCACCATTACTTTAGCAAAGTATCTGTCAAACAAACTAAAATCTGTCTTTGTGCCCTCTTCAAATCGCAAAAGACTGCAATTTAATAAGTATAATAAGTAGGCCTATAAATAAGATATTAAATCAGTATAAATATTTATAGCTATTTTAGGAGGTTAAAGTAACTAAGTAACATTTACTTTGAGTACATTTTAAATGAGCTAATTTTTACTTAAATTACTTGAGTAGATTTTTATACCAGTAACTTTATTTGTACTTAAGTAAGTTTAGTATATACTGTTACATTAAGTACAATATTTTAGTACTCTTTCCACCTCTACTGTTTTAGCTTTTTGTCGCTGCACTGTCATCGCGTCATTCTCCAAAGAAAATGCTGTAAAAACATGTCTGCCGGCTCAGCATCTGGCAGAAATGAGCATTTAGCAGCTAAAGAGACAGATATTTTCATCAGGAGCTGGTGGAGACCAAAAACAGAGCTCACCGCACTCACGTTTATCAGGTGACACAAACACCACCCCACATGAATGATCGTGTCGCTCTCTCATTAGCTACCAAGTTAAAATGGTATACCTAATAGGTGTTTAACAGTTTAGAGGGCAGCATATGGAGCAGGTCGTACACTAATCTCAGGGTTGATCGTTTGATCCCCAGTTCCTCCATCCAGAAGTGGAAAGTGTCCTTGGGGAAGACACTGAATCTGGCACCTTGCATGGTGCTCCTCACTGCTGTGTGTGTTTGTCTGTGTGTTTTTAATGAGAGGCAAATTGTATAATACTTCAGGTAAAAGCACTATTTAAATGGAGGTCATTTAATTTGCTTGTTTTACTTCTCCCAAGTGGATCAGTTCCTGCACATTTAATATCTTCTGGGACATAGACATGTTGTTTGATTGTAACTAACAGGAGTTACAAAACAAGTTGTTCCATCTATTTTCTATATACACTCACCTAAATGATTACTAATACATACTAATACTGTGACTTTGACCCCCTTTCGCCTTCAGAACTGCCTTAATTCCACGTGGCATTGATTCAACAAGGTGCTGAAAGCATTCTTTAGAAATGTTGGCCCATATTGATGGATAGCATCTTGCAGTTGATGGAGATTTGTGGGATGCACATCCAGGGCACGAAGCTCCCGTTCCACCACATCCCAAAGATGCTCTATTGGGTTGACATCTGGTGACTGTGGGGGCCATTTTAGTACAGTGAACTCATTGTCATGTTCAAGAAACCAGTTTGAAATGATTGGAGCTTTGTGACATGGTGCATTATCCTGCTGGAAGTAGCCATCAGAGGATGGGTACATGGTGGCCATAAAGGGATGGACATGGTCAGAAACAATGCTCAGGTAGGCCGTGGCATTTAAACCATGCCCAGTTGGCACTAAGGGGCCTAAACTGTGCCAAGAAAACATCCCCCACACCATTACACCACCACCACCAGCCTGCACAGTGGTAACAAGGCATGATGGATCCATGTTCTCATTCTGTTTACGCCAAATTCTGACTCTACCATCTGAATGTCTCACCAGAAATCGAGACTCATCAGACCAGGCAACATTTTTCCAGTCTTCAACTGTCCAATTTTGGTGCGCTCTTGCAAATTGTAGCCTCTTTTTCCTATTTGTAGTGGAGATGAGTGGTACCCGGTGGGGTCTTCTGCTGTTGTAGCCCATCCGCCTCAAGGTTGTGCGTGTTGTGGCTTCACAAATGCTTTGCTGCATACCTCGGTTGTAACGAGTGCTTATTTCAGTCAAAGTTGCTCTTCTATCAGCTTGAATCAGTCGGCCCATTCTCCTCTGACCTCTAGCATCAACGAGGCATTTTCGCCCACAGGACTGCCGCATACTGGATGTTTTTCCCTTTTCACACCATTCTTTGTAAACCCTAGAAATGGTTTTTAGGGAGCCCTGTAAAGACACCGTTACAGTAGTTGAGTCGACTGAATATAAATGCATGGATAAGCTTTTCCAGGTCTTGCTGAGACATAATCCTTTAATCCTTGATATATTCTTCAGGTGATAGTAGGCTGACTTTGTAGTTGTCTTAAAGTGGCTCCTTAGAGTCAGGTGTTGGTCCATGACTACACCAAGATTTCTGGCTTGATTTGTGGCTTTGTTCCTCTCTGGCTCCAAAAACAATAACTTCAGTTTTATCCTTGTTTAATTGAAGAAAATTCTGGCACATCCAATCGTTGACCTGGTCCAGGTCATTGAAGACCTTAACAAGAGCCGTCTCAGTGCTGTGGTGTGGTCGAAAACCTGACTGGAAGACATCAGTTATTTAGTGCCAAGAAAGCACTAAGCTGTTGAAAAACAGCTTATTCAATGATTTTACTTAAAATGGGAGATTTGATATGGGCCTATAATTGCTCATTAGTGACCTGTCTAGATTGCTCTTTTTTAAGAGCGGCTTAATGACTGCAGTTTTCAGGGCCTGTGGGAACAAACCTGAGAGAAGAGACATGTTGACAATTTGTAGTAGATCTGAGGCCATGCATTTAGACACATTTTTGAAAAAACCTGTTGGCAGAATATCAAGGCAGCATGAGGAGGATTTCAGATGTTGTGTTATGTCCTCCAGGTTTTTATGGTTAATAGAATCAAATTGTCTCATGCTATATGAATTGTTTTTAAGTGGACACAGGGACAAGACATATCCTGTAACTGGAATGGAGGCACTGATTGCTTGCCAAATTGTTTGAATTTTGTCTGTGAAGAAGGAAGCAAATTCATTGCAGGCCCTGGTGGATAGAAGTTCAGAGGCTACAGACACAGGAGTGTTGGTTAGCCTGTCGACAGTAGCAAACAGGGCATTATTAGTGTTTTTGGTGATGATGTCACAGAAGAAGGACCGCCTTGCATTTCTCAGTTCTAAATTATAAATGCAAAGTCTCGCTTTATAGATGTCATAATGAACCTGGAGATTTGTTTTCCGCCACCTGCGTTCAGCTTTTCAACACTCTCTTTTTTGAGTTCTAACCAGCGTGGCATTTCTCCATGGAGATCTTCTCTTACCAGAGACCACCTTCACCTTGGCTCGTGTATGGCATCAATAACAATTGTAATTTTTAGAACTGAAATTATCTACAAGCTCATTCACTGAGACCCGTAAGAGGGCGGGTGTCGAGGAGAAAGCCTCAATAAATTTTTCACTAGTGTTTTCAGTGATATGCCGTTTTGTGAACACCTCTGTTTGTACATTTGTGTGCACGCAGATAGACACAGGGATGATCAGAGAGAGCAACATCAGTCACCACAACCTCGGAAATGTCCAGACCCTTGGAGATGACTAAGTCCAAAGTGTGCCCCTTATTGTGCGTGGGCTTTGTCACATGTTGGGTCAGTCCATAATTATGAAGAACACAACACAGTTCTTTAGTCCCTCTGTCCTGGGGGTTGTCAAGGAGGACGTTAAAATCACCAACAATAACCACACAGTCAAAGTCAATACAGATTATAGACAGCAGTTCACCAAAGTCATCAAAAAAGTTTGCACAGTATTTAGGGGGCCTGTAAATATTTAGAAAAATAGTTCGAGAAGAGGAATTCAGCTGAAGAGCCACATAATCAAAAGAAGCAAATGTGTGTGCTTGTGCAGAACAACTATACTGGGGGCATATCTTGACGTAGGCAACAGCCAATCATAACAGACTCTACCACATGGGGTGTGGCTTGAAGTAGGCGTCAGCCAATATAACAGATTCAGCCTTACATGATCCATGCTGAACTTAAAATGAGGTATGCTGGTTTGAAATTTTGTCACACTTCCGCTGGCACTGCAAAACATCACCATGTCACATGAAATTAAAACCTCGCGGGAGCAAGGCGGCTGCAGTTTTCTGAGTCGGGCGACCGCAGTAACTTTTCTCCAACTGCACTAGGTTGAAACCACCTTTTGACTGATTGTGAGCAACAACGTATAATGGAAGCTTACAAGAAATAAAAATATTTAATAAATGAAACCCGTCAGCAGTAAGAAAACAGCAAGAAAAAGCAACAGCAGCATGTCTTGACAAAGCAGAAAGTAAGCTGAATGTACGTGGGCAAGTCATTTAAGGTTACCTGACACCCATCGTGGCTGGAATAGTGTTGTGTGGTCCGAGCTACTTTCTTTGTTTGCCATTTACAGAGCCATGTATTGGATTAGAATCCCAAGCCTCATCAAAAGCCAATAAATCCACTACAACAATTAAAGACATATTGGTCTCTGACCAGTCTGAATTTAATGTTATAAGGAAATCTTGCAGCATTGTCCCAGTCCATCTCCAAGTCAGCCAAACAAACATTTTCCCACTTCAGATGGAAGACAAGACAGATTCTGGATTTCACAAAGATCCTTCCAAACATTTTACTAATATTTACATTTTGTAATATTAGCTTTTCACTAATAATTACAGCTGATAAAGGTGGTGTTTCGTCACAGAAAACAAAAGTGCCAATAGTATTTCTATAAGATAGTGACTAGATTTCTAAAAGTCTGTGAATGAATCTCAAATAAACCTCTAATATTCACTCTCTTAATGTAACGTTGATCATCCATTTGTGGTGTAAGGTCCAAACATGTACCAGCAAATATAAGAAATAAAAGGATTCTAATAAAATAAAGAACTCACAGCACATCCTGCTGAAAGAGTGCACAGATCACCCGGTTCTTTTGTTGGAGGATGGACACTAAATAAATACAAAGTCAACTTTGGCTTTTGGTTATAATTGTGTTTAAAATGAAATATTGTAAATGAACCAGAGGAGCCTCACTTGTTTAGTTTTGACACGTGAGCACAAAGATCTGAGGTCTCAGCTGTCTGCTGCTCCATCAATGTGACTGACTGCTGCTGTGTTGCTTCTTCAGAATTTAACAATGATCCACAGCATTTAAGACTGATGCAGTTTTAGTCAGGTTATATCACATTATAGAAGGATGATCAGTACTGCACCACCACATATGGAGGTTTCAACAGACACTTTTTAATCTGCAGGAAATTCATCACATTCACAACTTCCAGATGCAGCAGTTAAAACCAAAGACTCGTTTGTATCAGTCAATGGCAATATAAAACTTCACTGTTTATTTTCACTGGGCTCCTGCCAACCTTGAGACTTCCATAAAACACATAATCAAACCTTTAAAAACACCTGAGGCACCGTGTGAACAGCTAACTCATAACATAATAATGTGTGAACTAATAAACAGTGCACTGCTTTCAGCGAGCCACCACCGGAAAATAACAAAGTTTATTGTGAGCTTATGTGTAGTCAAACCACCAAAACTGCATTCAAAGTGACATATTGATTTCAAACAAATAACCATTTTTAAAAAGTTAAAACATTTAGCGTCAGGAGCCCAATAAATAAGATAAAAGCATCTGTGCGAGTTTGAATGTGGGGGGGGGGGGGGGGGGGGGGGGGGGGGGGTCAGTCATCGTTGGTTTGAACAGGTGCAGGGCAGAGTCAGAAACACACTTCCTGTGTTATCGTCCTCTCTGCAGAGCTCCTCAATCATCAATTTTATTTCACGACAAACTAAAGAAATCATCTCAAACTTGAAGCTGTCTTCAAATAAATGTTGCAGACTGGTTCAGAGCGTGCAGGCGTGTCGACGTTCAGCCTCAAGTTGCTTGTCAGTAGAAAAAATTGCCGAAGTCGCCCATGCCGTTGCGTCTGAACTGGTTTCCCTGAATGGAGACGAAGATCTGGTGGTCCATCAGATCCTGGACGACTCGGCTGCAGGACGTCTCCTTGTTTCTGCTCAGCTGACGACTAAACTGCCACTTCCTGCCTGAGGTGGAGGCTACGCCGCCGTCTGTGCTGCTGTTGTTCTCGGCAGACTCGGGCTGAACGTCTGCCGAGCTGCTGGGGGTCTGGTTGGTTGTGGAGACGAAGGGAGCGTCTGGAACGCCCCCGTGCTGCTTGTCTTCAGCAGTTGGGTCAGCAGCAGGGTCTTCTGGGAACAAAAGCATGGATCGTGTGTTACACACATACCTGTCTCGTTTAATGTTACATTCTGACTGGGAGCTCCGCCTACCTTTACTTGTGTTGGGCTTCACTAGAATCACCCCGTAGCCTTCATTGTTGTGGATCACGTTGTTCTCCATGGTGATGGACGGCATCACATCCAGCTCATCAGCAAAGTCCTGCACTCACACCAAACATGATAATCAGGACAGCACTCCCCTGAAACGATCCATTCATGCATTGAATCCTGTGAAGTGCCGTCACTACGCGCAGCATTTCAACACATTCACCACCTGGATCCTGTCCCAGCAGGATGTCCAACATCCGATGTGCCCAGAACTCCAAACATCTTTATGATCAGATGTTCTTTTTTCAGTGTTTCTAATCAGAATGTTAAAGCATTTTAGTCTTCTGCTGTCCACAAAAGAAAGTTACTAAGAAACACTTTGGGGTTCATTATTGGGGTGGTGATGACTCTGTGGGTAAGAACCACACCTTAGGTGTGAGAGACTCGGGTTCAATTCCCATCTGTGACACTGTGTCCACCAACTGAGCAAGACACTTAACCCCTAGTTGCTACAGAGGCGTGCAACCTCTGACCTAAACAGCAATTGTAAGTCACTCTGGATCAAAGCGTCAGCTAAATGAATAAATGTAAAATGAATCTCTGCTTTATGGGACATGATTTTTGTTCTGCTGTTGTGAAATCTTTCTTTCAGTGCCGTTTAGTTTTGCCATTGGCTGCATTGTTGGGCTTCATTCTGTCTAAGGGTGCTCCGATCAATCGGTCACCGATCGTAATTGGCCAATAATGGCTTTAACTAGTTTGATCGTTGGTCTCTAAAAAAGGCAGATCAGATGATGAAATACTAGGCAGACAATTTTTCAACAGCAGCTGGTTTCACTACAGCAGCTCAGCAGTCTGAGCTGTTTTCAAAGCTAGCTAGCACCAAAGTACTTTTCAGATAGGAAGCGACTGATGTGCCCAGTTAATCATTAACAATGAAGCTGATGATCCACGGGGCAACTTTTTGGGCAATGTTGCTGGCGGCATGTCCGACTATGTTTTGAACGGATAGCGGCGGTGCGGGGAGGGTAGCGGAGTGATGGGGGAGGGGGATTACAGTAGTAATCTTTACTCGTTACCACTGACGGCAACATTGCCCAGCACCATTGCTCTAAAAGTTGCTCCATGTATCATCAGCTTGAGAGTTAATCAGCAATCAGACAAACGGAGCAACAAGCAGGAGTGATCATGTGAAACTGTTGCGGTTGTGCTGAAAGTGTAATATTTACAAAATATAAGTCTACAACTTGCACCAACGTAAGTGTTTAACATATCCTTTACTTGGGCGGGCCGGACAGGTATAGTTGCACTTACCAAAGTATATCTGGCAACCCACTTCATAATTTTGCAGAGAAACAGAGAGAGAGATGTTATCTGGTATTACGTTAACGGACACACAGGAAATTTTACATTACGGAACGACAGTGAACGCACCACTGCAGACGTCGCAAACGTTAAGTTTCAGTTTCAAACCCCATGCGGCGCACTTGAAAACTGATTCACGGGTGAGTTTATTAAACACGCCGACTTTATGAAACGTACAGCTGATGCAGAAAAGCAGCATACACACATACAGGGAGAGAGAGAGAGACAGGAAGAGGCGGAGCAAGCCGGCGTGTTTGCCGTGAGAGACCAGAGATGCAGGCTGTGAGTGTGGGGAGAAGAGCAGAGGAGCAGATTCAAGTAAATAAACACTAAACTAAGGTGGACAATGACCTACAATAACCTACTGTTATTACATATACACCGCTACCGAGCCCACCCTCCACTGGCTGCCGGCACAGTTGCACTGTAATGAGAGCTCAACAGTCCGCGGAGCAGGTGTGTCGCGGTTCTGTCTCTGGGATACGCGACACGAGGCCGTGGACTTTTGTGTTATGTAACCTACAAGTTAGTTACCATTAATAAATCAGAGACCAATGTAGACTGTGCTTCTTGCACAAGGATTTAATAAATAAAAACAACCCACTGAAATATTATTAGGCCTATACTAGAGGGAAACTATATGAAATTATAATGAATATAGTAACAAAAAGTAATATTAACGATATAGTAACAGTATAAAATGGAATTAACATTGTAGTTTTATTTATTTAAATTTCCCTTATTTTCAAATCTCATTGATTAGTTATGACTCCTCTCTCTACCCCCTATAGCCTACAGAACCTGCCTGAGCTTTCCAGAACAAAAAGCAGCTACTTCAGAGTTTATCAGCGACATTTATCAGATATTTTGGCTATAGCCTTTTTTATGTTTGTAGTAAACTTATAAGATACTGTTTGTTCTGTTTTTGTAGTTTATTCCACAGGAAAGCTATAATTGTTAAGCTATAAGATGTTCACAGTAACCAGCCAAAGGCTGCTATGGTTTAAGTCTCTAAGACAGAGGGAGGGCAATAAAATAAACAGTTATCACTTCATGATACTTTATCATCTGTTAATAAATTGTTTTAGGACTAATTAAATAAATATATAGCATTATGCTACTTGTTAAAAAGAAGGCATCAAATAGACCCAGTGATCGTATCGGCTCATACTGATTTCAGCAATTGGTGATTGCCTCAAAAACTCCTGATCGGAGCACCTCTAATTCTGTCATACAGCTCACCTGTGATTGGTTGGAAGGTACACAGTGAGGACCAGCTATTAAAGTGGAGTTCTGTTTATACTGAGGTTTGTTTCACAGCACGAGCTCGGGTCAGACCAAAACCTCATTCTTGGTACAACAGTGAAGACAGGCCCGGCGGCTCACCTTGATGAGGATTCCGTCCTTACAGTGGTGGATGCCGTTTCCAACTAGATTGCAAACACTGCCCGGGTAGATCTCCACACCAGCCCCCTGTGTGCAAGGCACAGCAACATAAACAGTCACTAAGCAGACAACATCAGCTGATCCGTGTAGTATCAGTATCACAGTGCATGTTCCACAATAAAAATCATTCAACACATTTTATCTCCTGAGTGTGGCTCTAGCACGCAGGCTGCTTGGACAGAATACATGTTTACTACAGAGGAGAAGGATATGTATTCCTGCAGCTCATCACGGTGAGCAGAGCGCAGACTGGAACAACAAACAGCCCTGACAGCAGTTTGTGAAGTGAAGCCTCAGAGCACTTTCTACCCATGATCAGCATCGGGCAGCGCTCACCTTGGAGCCGTACAGGTCGCACATGTTCATGTCCAGACGGGCCGACGTTCGGACGATGACTCCGGTGGTGTCGCACTGCAGCACGCAGTTCTCCATGTTCAGAGTGCCCTGACGCACACCTGACAGAAACCCAACAGGAAACAGTTAACAGGCTGTTTGTGTGTGCACACAGCGGTACGTGGGTATAATATATAATGATGATTCTGATGAGGAATGAGCCAGAAGCGGCATGTGGAAGTTATTGAGTCTCAAACTAACAAAACAGAAAAGACGTCTTTAATTTATTTTTAACAGGTTCTACATGGTTTGTTGGACAGACTCCTGTACCGACAGTGTTATGAAGATGTTTACAGTGAGGTGCCATCCCCGTTCTTCTGCCTTCAAAATTTATCCGTACTCACACAGAATGCCCTCGATAGCATCGTGCTGGATGAACTTGATGTTGGACAGTCTGACATCGGCTCCTGTAGACTCCACAAATGAGTCGCCCTTGTTTTTCTTCTCAATCACCACCTCATCAGGAAGCCCGAAGCCTGGACCAGACAACACAAGAACCACCGGCAGTGCACAGTAGCTCTATGAGTACGTGTTTGTTAACCCCGAGTAAGGTCTGAAGGTAAATGACCCTGCGTCATTAAAATGCTATTTGCTATGTGCATGCTATTTGTCCGAGCGGACAGAGTGGGTGTGAGGGGGGGGATTAAATATAAAAAGATTGCTCTGTGTTTACAGTGTGCTGCTGCATGTGACGTGTGATTCTTCTGCGCATGCAGGTCACTTTCAGGCTGCGGACAGTTCACACTGGAGTCTGATATGGGCCACATTTAAGCAATAATACGAACTCTCAAACTAACAAAATCAGAAAAAAAAATTTAAAGTGGAATTGAGCATTAAGGCCTGCAGTCTGAACGTAGCCTTATACACAGTCTATAGGCGTCGCTGACTGTCGCATAAGCATTTCTTTGCGAGAACAAAAAATAAATAAACAAAGACTTGTTGTAAGCTGTGTGAGAAATACCTTTTAAACTGTAGATTAGTACACACTGTATTTAATTTGAGGAAATAACTTTTGGTCACAATCTTGACACATTTTCAAAGTAAGAGCCACAAGATTACCATTTTGATCATCATCATCAAAGGGTCATGTTTTTCTTACGACAGAAACTCAGACATCTAGCCTAGGTGAGATTTAAACAGACAAATGTGGATCCTACGGGGACCATGGGAACACTTTTTACTATCTACATACAGTGGGGAGTAAGAATTTGATACACTGCTAATTTTACAGGTTTTCCTACTCTACAAAGCATGTAGAGGTCTGTAGTTTTTATCATAGGTACACTTCAACTGGGAGAGACGTATTAACTGCGCCTGTTTGAACTCACACACTCAAACAGATTCCAACCTCTCCGCAATGGCCAAGACCAGAGAGCTGCGTAAGGACATCAGAGATAAAGGCTGGGATGGGCTACAGGACAACAGGCAAGCAGCTTGGTGAGAAGACAACTGTTGGCGCCATTATTAGAAAATGGAAGAAGTTAAAGAGGACGGTTAATCTCCCTCAGTCTGGGGCTCCATTCAAGATCTCACCTCATAGGGCATCAATGATCATGAGGAAGGTGAGGGATCAGCCCAGAACTACACAGCAGGAACCTTGTCAATGACCTGAAGAGAGCTGGGACCACATTCTCAAAGATAACCATTAGTAACACACTACGCCGTCATGGATTAAAATCCTGCAGCGCACGCAAGGTCCCCCTGCTCAAGCCAGCGCATGTCCAGGCCCGTCTGAAGTTTGCCAATGACCATCTGGATGATCCATAGGAGGAATGGGAGAAGGTCATGTGGTCTGATGACACAAAAATAGAGCTTTATGGTCTAAACTCCACTTGCCGTGTTTGGAGGAAGAAGAAGGATGAGCACAACCCCAAGAACACCATCCCAACTGTGAAGCATGGAGGTGGAAACATCATTCTTTGGGGACAGGACGACTGCACCGTATTGAGGGGAGGATGGATGGGGCCATGTATCACAACAACCTCCTTCCCTCAGTAAGAGCACTGATGATGGGTTGTGGCTGGGTCTTCCAGCATGACAACGACCCGAAACACACAGCCAGGGCAACTAAGGAAGAAGCATCTCAAGGTCCTGGAGTGGCCTAGCCAGTCTCCAGACCTGAACTCAATAGAAAATCTTTGGAGGGAGCTGAAAGTCCGTATTGCTCAGCGACAGTCCCGAAACCTGAAGGATCTGGAGAAGGTCTGTATGGAGGAGTGGGCCAAAATCCCTGCTGCAGTGGGAAAACCTGCAAAATCAGCAGTGTATGAAATACTTGTTCTCCCCACTGTGCATGTCTTGTGATCTCAGGAAGAGCTTTCATTTGTTTGAAATCACCATCTGATTTTCCTTTTGTATTTGAGAGAATGTAAGGGGAGAGATTCTGAATGTCGAGAGAGAACCGTATCTTTTTCTCCGTGCTGCACGTATAAAGAATTGATCCATCACATCTTTGACGCTGTATTTCTTCTTTGGAAGAACTTTTTCACAGCTGTTAATATTTTCATAGCTGAAGTTAACGACTCCAAGAACAGTCTGTGTTTGTCTTTTTTAAAAAACGTTTTTGTATATAATAAAGTGTTTGTCAACACTCATTCTCAGAGCATTTTTCACTGTCACATCTGTCAGCCAGCAACCACAGTTCACACAGTACCTGCAGGTCTGGATGATCTGAAGACCGTCTGTGTTTCAGTTGATCATTTCTTTAGTTTTGGACCCCTTTAAATGTAAAAACCATCTGTAGCACCAGTGCACATGGTCCGGCATTACAGCTCCCTGCGACTGACCTGTCATAATAACACTATCATCAGCTAATTTTGTTCTATTTACTACCCCACTACAGGATCAAAGTACAGGACTGGAGTGAGCCTGAGGAGGTGCTAACTGATGCCTAACTACTGCTCATCCATCTGATGATCTCCGTGGCTCCTTACCTTCTATAGTGATGGAGTCTGGTAGGAAGATGGAGCTGCTGACACTGTAGATCCCTGGGAGAACAAGGACCACGTCGCCCTGATGGCACGAATCCACCGCTGATACTGGGTCTCTGTGGAACTACACACACACAGTTTATACGCACGGTACAGCATAGGGCTGAGCGCTCCTAGCGGCTCAGTGAGGTTTCCTTAACTTTAGATTCACCCCACCAGTGGTGAGGATCTAACAAGAAATAAAACATCCAACTGGTTCACTTTTGTTGTAGACAAAGTACACAGCATCCAGCTGCATTCCAGTTCAGTGTGGTTTCAGGTGATCTGACGAGTCTTTACATTTACCAGAGAACACAGACACTTTACTGAGTGCCGATCTAATCTGCTGCTGCTGGTGAAAGTGACGGCCAGGAGAAACCGCCAAGAGCTTAGATCTTTGCCAATAAACGGAGTGAGGGGAGACAAAAGAGGTGATATGAGAGTCGTAAGCGTTGGAGCTGAATGAATCAAAGTATTTTCCATGACCAGGAACCGGATCTAAAATGGACATGTCTTCTGCAGCCTGTCCCTGGTCATATTGTTACGTGTGAGTATGGTACTGACCTGAATCTCAGTGTCCTCAGAGGAGCACAGAGGCAGCAGTCTGTCACGGAGGAGGGACTGGAGCTGCACGGTGCTGCAGGAGGCTGTGACCACATGGACCACCTTCATACCAGATGCCCGGGGCCCACGGCTCTGCACACACTGCTGCCTGGCATTACCTTTGTAGCCCAGCACGTACCTGGAGAGGAGGGGGAAGAAGATACTGAGGCAGGGCTCTAAGCTGACCTTTTTCCCCCAGGAGCACATGAGTTCCTAAATGAAAAAACAATTTAGGAGCACAGCGAAAAATGTTCAAGTAAAACAGAGTTTAGCAAACTATTTATTATACACATTTATACTACATGTGTGCTCCTTCTCCTTATGTTCAACTATGGTATGAAACCACTGGAGGACTGGAAGTGTATCTGTACACTCAGCATCAGCCTTAATATTTTGTTAAAGCTTTTTAAAATATGGAAACATGTTTGGAAAATTTGAGACATTGAAAACAGCTTTTAAAACACTGATCACTCATCACAAAAATCTTTACTGTGATTGGTGCTTGTGTAGTTTTTGAACCAGGGACGGATTCACGATACACCAGCAGCACCCACACAACCCACACCTAATGTAAACAAGACTACTGAACAGGATTACAGTAACTTTAGTAAAACAGAACAAGGGGAAGGTGTTGCTCTCAGGAGGAGCCTAGAAGGAGCACATACTGGCACAGTGGTATCCTGCAATGGAAATCTGCATCTTTCTGAAATCTGAGACTTTCTACAACGTGGAGGAGAAACTAGTTTAAATGAGTGTATTAGTGTAATATTATAAACATTAGATAAAAAGTTTGTTAATTATTTGACAGAAGTTTCATGTTTGTGAGTTGTTTCCATTCATTAAATCCTTGTGCAAGAAAAATTGGCCTCTCAATTTGTTAATGCTACCATCTCATGAATAATCACCAGCATTCATGCAGGATTTCAACATTTGAAAATTTACTGTAGCACGTCGAACTATTTTTATGTTCCGACCCATCCAGTCTGCGATTGGTCAGTTGACGAAAAGTGAAATTGACGAGCACATCGATTTTATGAAAAGTTGAAAATGTTTCCACAAAAGGCGCCTGATACAGCTAGCCAAACCCACAACCTCCTTCACTTCTCCCTACTGTCTTCTGTCTCACCGCTCCAGCTGCTGACTTCGCATCTCTCTCTTTGTTTTTGAAACAAGCTTCTCAAGCGGCCACCGAGCGACCCGCCCACCGGGATCTCTCTCGGTGCTCCGGTGACTCCCCCCCGCCCCCCCCTTTCATTTGACTGACACCAGCTTTGCGTTGCGTCCTGCCCGCTACTCGGGATGGGGCGTTTTGAACAATTAGCGGAGCAGCGGGAAGGTTGTGGTTACGGTAGTTACTCACATACTGCGCTAGTGAATAATTTTTCCGGTTTGCGCTTATCAAATTTTAGGGGCATATGCGAGCTAAATGGTCGCACTGTAGAGCCCTGTGATGGACAGCTGGATAAGAGAGACAAAGAGGAGGTAGTGGTGCTGGTGTAGGGCATATGGAGGTGGAAAATCTCAACACATTCTACCTCAACAGGGGGTTCTCGAAGATGTGCAGCTTGCGTTTCAAAGTCTCCAGCTGGTCGTGGAGCTTCAGGCCCTCCACCATGGATACGTTGTCCAGCTCTGAGTCCGAGTCAGTGCTCAGGTCGCTGCACAGCACCGAGAACTGCTGGAAGCACTGGGAGCAGTTTTTCAGTAAGGACTGGTACTCTGCCACCAGGCCTGCTGGGACTCTGTCCTCTAAGATGTCGTAGTAGCTGAGATAAGACACATTTTCAATCAGGATTCACAGGGATGAACCAACACTCATAATACATCATCATCACCCAGACGCAAGGTTTACTCACAGCCTGAGACGAGGCTCCACACAACGAACAAAGTAATCAAAGTCATCATCTTCATCTTCCTCATCCCACTGCCTCCAGATGTGTTTATAGAAAAACCTGAAGACAGGAGGAGGAACATAGGAATGGCGCAAATTGAGAAGTAAACTTTAATCAGACTGTTTAGGAGAAGCAACAAGAAGTAAACTCCGGGCACAGAATCCATTCAGCAAGTCCCACCTGAGGTGCTCAAGTGCAAGGGCGGTCTGATCAAAGTCCCCAGACTGGTCGTAGACCACCTGGAGCTCCTGCAGGGGGACTTTGTGCTGAGTGGCCTCCAATAGGGATTCCATACTCTCCTCGGTGAGTTCACAGCCTCTGGTCTCACACTGCAGAGGCAGCACCAGCCCCACGCACGCCTTCAGGTCCTTCCAGTCCACATCCCGCACCTGAAACCACGAGCAGCTCTTCTCTGTAAACAGATTCAACTGAACCTTCTCTGTGCTTACTGATTAAATTGGCAGCAGCTCAACTGCAACTTGTGTGCGTCAAATCAGTGATTTATAACCATCTTTACTTGGTACATTTTAATCCAAATATAGAGCACATTTCTACAAAGGTAAAAAGGCACTTCAGTGAAAGTTTCCATCAACTACTGTTTTGGGGACAAACTCACTGGAGGTGGATGGATCCTGGATCCCATTTTTGTTACCCCATCCTGACTTCACAGAGCGAGTCAAATAAAAGCAACCCAGTTTCATTCAGGAGAACAGCTTTTTTTTTTACCCTGAACGCAGCCTCACTGGGTCCTGTTCAAACACAGCGGTCACATTAAAGAGACTGATGTCAGTCTGAGGTACAACAGGTTCCTCTAAATCCATGCTCTCACTCAGGATTGAAATAGGGCTCAAGTGGGGTGAAAATAAAAAGGTACATTTACAACAGAGACACGTCTGAACGTTGGTCTCACCTCCACCAGAACATCAAAGACATCAATAGACCACAGAGCCAACCAATCACACGGCTCCACCACCTTCTCCAGGTAGTCTGCGGTGAAGGCCTTCACCTCGGAGGGTTTACAGTCTCCTACAGACGAATACACATGAAAGGTTAATAATTCTTATTGTACTGCATCTGAGTGGGAACATGTAAAGTGAGAGTGCGTAGTTACCGAGCATGTAGTCCTGGTACGCCTTGAACCGCTCATAGAAGAGCAGATGGCTGGTCTGGAAGGTGTCAGGGAGACTTGAATTCACTCCTCTATTACGCTCACATCTCTGCAGCTGAGTGCCCGACTTTTCACTGTTGAAGTGGTCTGTGCCACTGTCATCATCACTCTCATCACTCTCATCTTCATCCTCTGCATTCTGAAAGAGAGCTTTAAAGAAAGACATGCGTAACATGATGAAAGCTGTAGAGGAATTTTTCGTTTTCTTCTCCCTACCCTTGGTGGGTCTAGGTAACAGCTGTTCATAAGTGACCTCAGTGTTACTGAATGCATCAACTAGTTGTTGCATAGAGATCAGCTGCTTACAGCCATTAACTGCCAGGTGGAAACGTTATTAGCTTACTGAACCACCTGACAGAGCAAACGTTAGCATTTTAATATCTGAGACGGTTAGAGTGAAAGAAGTTAAATGGAGTACGGTCAGAAGATAAAACACACATTTCACTAAAATAACACAACATACCTCAAATTAAAAAAATGTTTGCCAATAACATCAGTCAGTTACCTTAGCACATCATGTATTTCCCTCTCATCATAAACTGTAGGACTAATGCTAACTCTGAAACAGATTTCTCCCTGTATGCAGACAGAAATTAAACTAATACTTACATTTACAAGGATTTATCTTTCGAGCCTCTAAAACTGATTTTTAGAAGATTTGCTAGCTCCTGATGCTACAGTGACTTCCTGTTTACATAGCAGATTGATCCTGATCGGACAGGGCTACAGATGTTTCCAGTACAACTACCATCTGCTCTGCTGAAGAGCCTTGCTCGGGGCTTGTGATTTGCCGGTCTGCAAGCTCTGTGACCGTCAGGCTGTGATCAGGGCTAAATCAGTTATCAATCGGCGGTCGCCAGTCTTTATGTGTGAACTACTCAAGGACGCGTCAAAACGGCTCCCCGACACATTGCCGACATCTGCCAGATATCTAGCATGCCAAATATCGAGGAGTCGGCTGAATCAACATCCACATCCAGCTAATGAGAGCAGGCAGCTACTTTTTACTCACCTCCAGCTCTCTCTGTAGCTCAGATGATCCCTGCTACCTGCCTGTGCTGATCCATTCTTTCACCCATATTCTTTGTCTTTATAATTTCTATCTTAATAATAACAAACAGCTGTTTCGTGTGTAGGTCCTCCTCATTTCCCGTTTCACATGTGTTTTCTTGACGAAACCTTGTTTGGAGACCAGCGTCGGGTGTCAGCTCGCGTAGTGTGTGACCCCCTGTCACCGATCAGTCACGTAGTGTGAACGCCACAACGACTTCAGACTCCCGTCACAAGGTGACAAGTTGTGTAGTGTGAACAGCACGGCTATTGGCCGACGCTGAAAGTCGTGTAGTCTGCAGGAGCCTTTAGGGTCTGTCCCAGTACCCTAACCTGCAGTCTTGAGCACTTCGTTGTGCATTCACACCATGGCAGGTATTTGACAGGTGTGTCCCAGTGAGCTCCGATAAGCTTCCACATGTTTGAGGTCTGAACAGCACTGTGGCAAACTCGACTACTGCAAATACCCCAAGCGTGGTGTTGGGATGAACTCTTACTCTACGTTGAGAAACACCACTCACTGGTTAGTTTAGACTACTTCTAGATCTACTTCAGAAACAGTCTTTGATAAGACATAAGGCTGCAACGATAAGTCGATGTAGGGGGGAGGGGGAGATAGCAATCTTCATCTTAAGAACATTTCTGGTTGTTTATTTCTAACCGCAATGCACTACAGGAAGTGCTGTGGGCAGTATGGCTTCCACTGTCTGCTTGAATGTAAGACTATTGATGAAGAAGAAGCATTAATGCGAAGAAACAGCGGAAAGTTGTTTTGTTTTTACATGTTTTGTACACTATCTAACTCACTAAATCCACTTTTAAAGTGAGAAATCAACTGTGTAGCATTTCAATATTGGCAGTTTTACCAAAGTTGATGGTGAATGGCGAAAATGCGCTCAAACGTTTTCAGGGTTGAGAAGCTCCACAAGCGCAGCCAGATAAGCGGTGCCAGCCGGCTGGCCGGCCGCGCCCACAGAGCCCTCTGGTCCCAGTTAACACAGACCACTGCAGCAGCAACGACAGAGAAAAGGCCACAACTTTGAGATACTTTCTTAGGGATGAAATAATTACCGGTTTAACGGTAAACCATGGTAAAATTCCTGACAGTTATTATTACCGTACACATTTTAATTACCATGATAGCACATTTTTACAATACCGTGATAATACTGATAACCGTGATAGTTTTGGTCACTAATATCGTGATATGAAGTATTCATACCGTTTCATCCCTAGTTTCAATGTTTGTACCTGTTATTCTGTCTTTACAATCTGAGTAATGGTTTAAAGTAAAGGAAAATCTGGCTTGTGATGTAAATTACAACATTCTCTAGTTATTAAGTACTTAAATAAACTACAGTAGTAGTATGAAAGGGGATTGTTGCTTTATTATTCTAAATAGACATTACATTGTTAGTGTACAGTTGTGCTGATGTGTTATAGTGCTTTTAATTTGTTTTTATTTTATATAGCTCCAAAGCAAAAATCTTTAGTCTGTGTGTTGAAGAGCAGCAATTCACTTGAAAGATATTTAATTAGTTCAATGGGTTAATTAGGGTTAGGGGATGACAAAAATAAAAGTCAACTAATCGAATAAATAGATTAGTCGACTACGAAAATAAGACAGCGCTCCAGTAACCGTGGTCAAAATTATTTTGTTCATTTAATTTGAGCAGGGGTGCTATTAATCATCGACTGTGCTTTGACGCCCTCTGGTGGCTCAAACGGAAACTACATGACAAGTTCTAACCTACAGAATATAAGCGGTTTACAATTTTAAAAAATAAATAAAAAAAGTTTGCACCTCCTGCACGTCGGGGCGTGCAGCTCCGAATGTCCATGCATTTTGCAGGCTGTGTCACTTCCTGTCCGCTATTTCCATAAATGTATGAAACTGAAAAACTGATTCCAAATAAAACTGTACAAGTAACACGATGGTGATGGGCAGATGTGACTGGAGCAGCTACGGGCCAACAGACCACCCAATAGATCTTCTATTGGTACTGTGTAAACAGGTAAAACCAGTACAACCAGTACTAGAGAAAGTAGCGACCCCGACCGAGTCCTGGACAGATTCACTGACTACATGTTGGACTGCACAGTTCACAATATCTTGTACGTGTCTGTAAATGTATTGAAGTAGGTTTTGAAATCACAGATAGGATTTGATTCAACTTCATTGTTATTTCACAGTGTAACATATACAGGTACTGAGACAACGAAATGCAGTTCAGCATCCAACCAGACGTGAAGTAAAGAATAGGAACTGTAAGAATTATTACAGTTTTTAATTTCACCAGCTATCAGAGGGAACCTCAGCCCAACACAAAAAGCTTGATGTCAGCTGCGGGAAGGAGGAGGAGGAGATACAAGAGCTGATACAGAGTCTAAACAGACACCAAGAACTTTTTACTACTGAGATCTTTAGCTAACTTCGTAACTTCAGGTTCCCGGTGGGGTCAATAACAGTTAGAAACGTCTAGCATGCAACCATAGATAGACACCAGACAATTATAGTCTGAGTGTCGTAGGACGGATGGTAATCACGGGGGGAAATGACGTTATATCAAGTTAAGTTACAATAACATCAGCTAATAACGTTAGCTCAACGTTTGCTCCCACCGGGGGCACACCTGTGACTGCTATGGTCCCTCTAAAACAAAGCGTTCAAACGCAAACAAAGTTATGTTAGAAGTTAAACTTAGTTAACGTAACATCAGAAAATAACGTTACCAACGTTGGCTAAAGTTAATGTTAAGCATAATTTAACCAGAACAGCGGAACTTTAGCGTAAGTTACGCCAACCAAAGTTAGTAACGCTAACCGATGAAATAACACGTTGACATTAGCAACCGACCAAGTATTTTAACAACGAACAAGAAAAAACGTGACACAGACCTTGAGTTATTGCACCGGACTTGTTCTGTTCCACTTTGTTCTGTTCCACGTCGAGTTCAACGTTAACGTAAGACTCCGAATCAACCAGCACGATGTCTGTCATCTCGTCTCCAGCTGACGGGGTTTCCACCCGTGCTTCGTGCTCCATGAACAATTAAAGAAAACTACTGAATACGTCGCCGAGTAAAATTTGACGGACTAAAAGCCAGCGGCGCTGAGCACTACACAAGTTTTGTCAGTTTGACAAACACACCAGTTACTTTCAAAATATTCCCGGTCTGCAGAGCCGCAGCCAATCGGGGACAGTACAACTGCAGCATGTCCCGCCCCTTAAGGCCCGAGCTCCTGGGAGCGAATGAGAAATGGGTAGGACTGTTGAGCATGCGCACTCCCCTGTCTCAACCCTGTTTTTTTATTTTTTTTTTTTTTATTTTTTTTTTATTTTTTCCCCAACACTTTATTTGCATTTTCCATAAACAGGCAGCATTGTAACATTGCATAGGCCTACCATTTAAATACAACTAAGTAGCATGCAACCGAAAGTAAATATGCAAAAATTAAATAAATACCCCAAATAAATAGCTAGAAATATATAAATCAATAAACATAAAATAAAATAACATAAATTTAAGAGGATTTACTCAAAACACAGTGAAAGTAACTCAGAGAATCTTAAGGCACTATTCTTTTCCAGCATTTTCAATGACCAAAAAAGAATCTTCAAATCATAAATGAATGCATTAAAACTTGGTGTAGTTTTTAAAAATCTACACTTATGAATATAAAGTTTTGCTATGATGAAGATATTATTACACAAATGTCTTTGTTTTCCATAAAACAACCAAACTTCACCTTATGGTAATCAAACACAGGTATTACATTCTTTGTACCTAACCAATCCAATATCCTTTTATTTAGAGACATTACAGCTGTAGAAAAGATGTTCCTGAGATTCAATATCAGTCTTACAAAACGTACAAACATTACAATCTAAATTAAATCTTACTCTTACGAATTCATTACATGGATAAATATCATTAATTGTTTTGAAATGAACCTCTTTCATTTTAGGAAACAACGGAAATGATAAAAATCTAGTTTGAACCTTGACAGTGACAAAACCTTTCTTTTCACAGGTAGAGGAAAACATTCTTTTGTCATCAATGACCTCAAAAATTTGTTATCACATTTACTATCTAAGAAATTATACTTATCCACAAAGAGATTAGCAGATGTAGGTATCACAGCAGAGTATTGTAACATTCATTTTATCTGGTTTATCAAAGCCTTAGGAATGGCATTGACTACTAAGGAATATTGTCTAATTGCAATCCAAATTAAATTTTGTTTTAAACTCATCATGACTTAACATATTCCCATATTCATCCATTTGATGTATTATAGCCCACACTCCTTTTTCCATCCAATCTATATAAAGTAGTGTTTTCCTCTTGTGTGAGATGTACCTGTTGTTCCATATTGTAGCCTATGAGGGGAAAAATTACGCTTATACATCATTTTCCAATACATACTGCATATGATAATCTGATAATTTAAATCAACTTTGATGGGTCAAAATCACATTTTAACAGAAAACCAATTCCTCCTACCCTTTGAAAAAGATAAGCTGGAAAACTAAACCATAAACAGTGTTCCTGTTTTCTAAACATTTGCAACCATTTTAATTTAATAACTCCATTCATTACTTTAAAATCAATCACAGCCATGCCGCCTTCTTCTGATGGTTTAACCATGTCACTTTTTCTAATCAAATGCTGCTTATTATTCCAAATAAAATTATAATGCATTTGGTTTATTTTCTTAATACATCTGTCTGGAACTGCTAAAGAATATGCAGGGTAAACTGGTCTCGAAATCGCTTCCATCTTCGTTTGCAAAATTCTTCCAAAAAATCGAAATATTTCTTTGTAACCAGCTATTTAAGATTCTTTGATTCTTTTGCAAAACATCTTGGATGTGACTGTTTCCCCTGTCACTATGGCCTTTACTGATAGTTACTCCCAAGTATTTAACCTCCTTTTTGACTGGGATGTTATGAGTAAAAGGTTGTGCACAGTCACGAATAGTCAAAATCTCCCTGAAGCTTCAGAAAAAATAGCTGCAGCTTTTAAGGCATTAGGTATTTGATCAGAATCTTTCAAAAAGTGTGCTGTGTTATTATCAAGGGATTACCCATAACATCCAATGGTTTTATAGTTTTATCATTTTTAATATACACTGCTAACAGTTCAGCTGCTAAAATAAAAAGAAGAGGACTAACTGGGTCTCCTTGTCGTATTCCCCTTTCAACATTGAATCTCCTTATGATTCCCGTAGGAAGTAAGGCTGCACTTGTAATACCCTTGTACAACATACCAATAACCTCAATAAATTTTTTCCCAAACCCAAAAATTGTGGTGTCTGTAAAATAAAGGGGTGTTCCAATCTGTCAAAAGCTTTAAAAAAAAAATCAAAAATAAGATAATAATGTCATCCTCCACCAAGTATGCGTAGTCAACAGATCTAAAATAAGCTGGGTGTTGTTATATATTAAGCGATTCTGAAGAAAACCTGACTGTGTTTCACTGACAATTTTATCCATACCACTTTTAAGCCTAGAAGCCAAAGCATGAGTAAATATTTTATAATCAACATTAAGTAAAGTAATCAGCCTTAAATTGTCTATAATTGTTTTGTCTTTGTTTGTCTTTTGGATTAATGTTATTATACCTTGTTTCATTGTTGTTAGTAGCATATTACCATTTAAACATTCTTTCAGTGCTTCAAAGAGTAATTCTCTTACATCAATCAAGAAAAACTTTTAAAAGTTAGTTGTTAACCCATCCTGACCTGGTGATTTTCCCAGAGCCATTTTCTTTATAGCAGCATCAAGCTCCCCAATACTTAAGTCAGCGTCACATGTCCTTTTAAAGTCTGGGTCAATTTGAGGGATGTATGGCTGTAACGTTTTAAACATTTTTTTCTGAATTTGCATCTGAGAACGAGGAAATATATACATTGTGATAAAACCCACATATTTCATTTGCTATTTCTTTTTGGTTAGTCACAATTGTATCATTAACATTCAACGTTGTGATTGTATTTAACCCTGTTTAGAGGTCACTCAACCAGGGCTGCCCTGCACTCAACATGTCCTCTTGCTTCATATACAGTTTTATCACTGTCATAGAGGACACTATGTATAATTGTCCACATACTTACGGAGTAAAATAATAATGAATAATGTAAATGTGTTAAGTCCACGCAATTCTGTTGACTTCCTGTTGCAACGGTTGCATACCCGGCTTGTAACCCACATTGTAACCGCTGGGAGGCAGCAGCAGTGTGGGAGAATCATCAAACTGTAACGTTAGAAGAAGAAAGTGTTTTGACTGGCGAAACACAACCTCGTTTGGTCGTGGCGCCAGCTCTAAGGTAACCCGTGGGAATTAATGTAAAAGTAAATGCACATTTTAATTTAAAAGAGAAGTCTGGGAAACGACGGTGTAAGCATGCCTGCCACGAGATGTGGTTTAACGGAACCGACGGCCGTACCGGATTAATTCACGTCAATTAGCATTAGCATGCTAACGAGTCGTTTTGTGATGTGCAGCTAATGCGGCTTTAACGCGCCGCTCCACAGAAGGTCACGCACGTTTCACTGATTCAATTTTCACATTTAGACGTGACGTGGGACATTGCACCCATACCTTCCACGAGCTTTCTGTGTGTGTGCGTGCGTGCAGGGTTACAGAAGAGACAGTCCCGGGTGGTTCCTCTCTTATTCAAGTAAAAAAAGAAGATACAGGCTGGAAACGCCAAACAAAAGCATACATCTTACATTCATGAGTCTCCTATCTTTTATCTAGTAGGTTTGGCAAATGTACGACTGGTTTATTTATATTACTACTGTATCTCCAACACAGTGCCTCACTGAACCTTGTCACTAGTTGTCCACAACATTACTAAAAATCAATGATTCAACACTTGTATTCTCTAAGTAACACTAAGGTGGAGCGCTGGAACATGTGTTTATATCTCTTCAATATGTGGTTGGTTTAAATGATTTCATGTGCTTGCTTTAAATCTCAGATTGGTCAGCATCAGAGTGGCAGACAAACACAACGTGGAATCTACAACCGGAGGGATCTGATTGGTCAGTGGTGATCCCCTGAAGTTAATCTGCTCCGGAGCAGGTTAGCCTTGCAGCATACAGTAGGTCACACGGTGATCTACCTGGTTAAAAGTGAGCCAGCTTCGTGGAAAACCTGAGTTAAGCCCAAAGAGAGCTGGCTAGCCCACTAATCTCACTTTGTGCTACAGACACCCAGGCTGGCTGTGCTATAATTTTCAAACGTAGTCATGTTTTTCTAAAACATGAGTCCACATAACAGGCAAGCAGAGAGCTGATGTGTGAAACCTGTGAAGTGAATCCTGGTTGTACATAACACACCAAGCAAGTGAAAACTTAACAACACTAGAACCACCAGGATTACAATGAAAACATCCAGAGGATTATTTAAAAAGATCCAATAAAACTTCACCGCTGCTTTCAGTTCTTCTGTCTGGTCAGACCTCAGACAGGCGATGCAGACAGTCATGTGACTAAACTAGCTCAGTGTGCCAGTAAGGCACATAAAGCTGGTAGATCTTTTTCGCTGAAGACATGTTGGCTTGTCGTAGCAGGAAAAACAGGTGTGATCAATGATGGCTGCATTCCACGTAGGAGTTCCAGGACAGGCTTACTGGGACATTTAAAAGGGAAAGAAGAAAGATCATTACTGTATTAAGACACACCTGTGCTTTTCCTGCTTTGACACCAGACAAAATGTCTGTTGTTTTTCCTGTGAGAGAGTGAGACATATAGGCTGATGGAGATGTTTTACTTCCTAAGCTGCTTTTAATTATTATTTGAGTGTGTTCATCTAGTTTGTCTTCAACAGAGTCACCGAGCTCCCTGTGGAGTTAACCACAGTACAACCACTATAGGCTGTGCACAGTGTAGACTGCGTACAGTTTATAGAAATGACCAGACCATGCGGTCATATAATAATACGTTGATGAATGGACATTAAGCCTCAGCATTGCCTCTGAATGTTTACAAACCTATGTGTTCAAATCTCAGGAGGTCAGAGATTGTCAAATGGATAACACAGTGCACTCTGGGACACTAAATGGCAGGAAGTTCAAGACCCAACAACTCCCACTAGGGGCACACAACGCAAAACACACACAACATCCAACCAG